TGAATTGATAAAAAACTTGTCCGTATATTCTTGAATCTGTCTGTTCGTTCGAACAAAATAACTTTTGAACCATGATAATTAGGGGTATTTAAACCTGTCTTATCTCTATGCAAGAGCATTATTACAAACCATATATAGTCTCATTATTTTGTATTGCTGCCGTAAAAAAATTGCTATTAGAAGAATAACCTTTTTGCGTAAAAATCTTTCTTAGTACCAAAAGTGTTTGTGCTTATTGTAATATGGTAAAGAAATTTGTCACTCACAATAAACATAAGCTTAACCAAAATCGGTGCACTTAAGTATATAGCTGTCATAAAAATGATCTGCTTAGAAATCCATCTTAGTGCCAACAAATTTTCTGCTTATAAAGATATCTTTTCTTTTTGTTTGAAAACGATTTCCTGGAAAATAATACTGTCATAGTTCTCAGAACTGTGCAGCACATCCCACTGTGCAAGGGGGTCCAGAGCAGTTAGCCGCACTTGTTATTCAACGCTAATGGTTCGTGTCTTTGCTGAGTCTGGGGCTGGGGAGACGCCGCGCAGTTTGGCTGCCGCTTTAATGTCTTTGGCGATCAGGTGTTGATGTCGGTGCATTTGGCAGTGTTGTCTTAACTATTTCAAAGCGCAGCTAGGGAAGGCAAAAAAAAAAAACTAAATAAATAAACACGCAGCCAACATTGCTGTCGATTTTTCCGCTGATTGCACTTAAGACCAACTACTAGTTGTGGATAACGAATTTTCCTACGCATAGCTCTGCCGCAACATTTTTGCCACTATGGTATTTTCACTTTAGCATTTGCCCTTATCTAAGGCATTTATAGCATTTTACCATGCAAATTTGTTAAGTCATTTTTGTTTGTGGTTCTCACGCTGCTGCCGACCCGCCACTGGAAAATGGGAAATTGAATATGGACCGCGCCATTTTTCATATGCAACGCGCACACACAAGCACCAATCAATTGACAATTGGAACATTCAGCACTCGAAATTGGCCAACATATCACGATTTTACAATCAGAGCTAAATAAATGGGCAATAAACGGCAGAAAGGTAACAAACATAGACACATAGATGTAACTATACATACGCAAAAATAGGCACAGAGTGGAAAAGTGTTCAACTATTGAATACCCTGAGCCGTGATCAGGGATCTTGTTATCAAGCCGATGTGCGTAAGAAAGAGTAAAATTTGATAAAGTTGAAATATAATGTTGAAAAAAGGCATAATTTTTAGATACTATATAGTGTCCTAATAGTGTTTAAAATACCTTCTTAGTCCTCCATATAAAAGAACCTTCCCACCTTTTTTACCTTACGACTTTGTTATTGCAATCGGCATTGCAATAAAAATTAGGGGTAATTAAATATCAATCGCGCAGCAACCATCATGACAGTAGCATAAAAAATGTCAAAGGGTTTATAAAATTTGATAATTTAATAATGCAACCTAGGACAGATATTTAATAATGCTGAAAGATTTCCCAAAAAAAAAATAATTTTTTTTAAAGAAAAATTCTTCCAAAAAAGATACTCGTTTAAAAAAAATTTTTGGTTTCATAACTAAAATTCTTTTTGCAAAATAACAAAAATGTGAATGTTTTTAGTTCAATTTTTATAGCTATTAAAACCCTGTTAGCTGTAAGTTTTAACTTTAAACTACCATTAAATAAATAGGTTAGATTAGGTTAGTCCAGTACACATCCCTTGGCAGCCCCACATATTCACAAGTTGGCCAAATATTGGATATCAGTTTGGGAATAAATTCATAATCCGTCAGAAGGAGAGCGTCCAGCTGTGAAAATATAAATCACCAACAGTGTATCGCGAAAGCATTGTGCCGTCTCCTTCAGTAAGGCAAGCCTAGGCTCATCGAGGCACTCTACTCCACATGTTACAAGTGATGGGCGGTTGCAGAGTAGGTGTTCCAGCAATTCGATCACTTCTGGTTCCTTGCATTTGCCTTTGCTGTGATTATCATGGGCGAGTAAGCCGGTTGTGAGTCTGCATTCCTTTCTGTGGAGTGAGATTTTTGTTTCTAGCCTTGCAAATTGCTGAAGGAATCTTTCAGTGGGCTGTCTGTGTTTTTCCACACGTTACTGTAGAACTCACTTAGGAAGAGTGATGTTCTTGCAAATATAGCTTAATACTTGTACTTCATATTTTCGATATTTTGTTAAAAAATAAAACAGATACCAAGCCACTTTCAACAAGAAATAAATTCTTCGCCTGCCGCAGTTAAGCTTGTTGGCTGTGAAGAAAACTAGAAAACAAGACGACCAACTCACAAATAAATGATAACTAAATAAGCTTGCAGCATTCACATATTTAACTCATTGTCTTGATTTATTTGGTTAACAGAGCAGTTTCGCTAGAAAAGATCTCCTTATACAGAACTATTTATATGGACCGATTGAGCCTCATCTAATCAGCTATAAAAAAAAAATAAAAAATTAAAGTACTACTTCTACTATCAACTAAATAATTTTGTATGCCCTTTTCTTGGAGCATCCATGGTCATAACACATTGTCTAGATTTGTTAGGTTGATTGAACATTCTAACCAGAAATGCTCTTCTAACCTGAAACTATTTCAACCTATTTAACCAGAACTGTTCTTCTAACTATTTCAAACTATTTACCCTCTCCTATTCCTTCTTAAACTCCCAGTACTTATGCACGATTCAAGCGTTAACTAGATCCGTTTAGACCTTTGTTGGCCACTCAATGCAAACAGGGTATAAAAAAAGTGCACGCAAATTGCAATTGAAAATGAAATGAAATGAAATCGCAACGACAAGCAAGTGTAGGCAGCCGTCAGTCGATCAGTCGATCGATTGCTCGATCGCTTGCCAAATCAGTTTCTAATCACGTTGTGGCGCTGGCTCTTGACGCGGGTGCTGCCAGGGGCCCCGGTAGCCGAGTCCGACACCAACACCGACATCGACAGCGACACCAGCCGGTGCCTGTGCCGGTGCTGGTGCCGGTGCCGGTGCTGGTGTGCACGCGATCCCATCGATTGGGGTGATTGAGAAATCGACAACGACGTCATTTGCTGTTTCCTTCGGCTGAGCGATCGGCTGAGTTGGTTTTGGTCCGTCAGTCCCCCCTGCCTCCTGCCCCATGCCCCATGTCCGGACGTCTCTCTGTCAGTCCAAATTGAATTTTGGCGTTTTGTTCGACAGCCGACAAAAAAGTTCAACAATCTGTGGCTTATTCTAAATGCCTGCGCTTGTTGTTGTTTATTAAGGCTTTAGCTCTTGGTCGACAGTTACTTTATTGTTGTTGGTGTTGTTGTTGTTGTTGTTACCTTACTTGATTTTCATGGCGTGCGTTTTCTGAATGCGCGAAATCTATGCAAATGAAATAAGCCGCCGCGGCGTCAAGAGTGTTAGCCAAAGTCCAGTGCGCCTTCTGGAGATTTACGAGGCGAGCGCGCAAAATGTGTTTACACTTTGTCACCCTTCTGTCAGTTTGATTTATTTATTTGCAGATAGCCAGCAAAAAACAAAAAACAAGTAAAAGAATAAGCGAACGAACAACTTAAAAGCTGGAGTAGCTGACCAAATTAAAATGCAAGTATTTACGGTTGGAATGCAAGCGAAACCGAGTGCCCAACTAGAATGATTGAATGAATGAATCAACGAACGGACGAATGAGTGATTGACTTATGTGGCCAACTGACAAGTTGCTTAAATAAATTAGTCCGCCGAGTGTGCGTTTCCACACAAATCTATATACTACAAGTACACTCATATATATTTTTGTCTTGGTGCGAAATCGCGTGTTAATCAGTGACTTGCTTGGTGTTACAAATCCGGACAGTCGGTTTGATGAAGCTGTCGCAATTGCACAAAAATTTACATTTTCAATTAGTTGCAAGTACTAGACATAAAGAACGTGTCATAATTTTAAACGGGTTGGCATTTTCTAACTAACTTTCATATTATTTAGGCTTTTAAGCGCAAAACAATTGATTTCAAATTGGTTGGACTCTGCTTTTATTTTTATTTATTGCACCTTTTCTTCGTTAGACTCACAAAAAGTTGTGGAATTAAATATTTAGAAATCACTTGTTTTTTAGCGGCCCTTAAAATAGGTACTGGGCTAGAAATAATCCCTTTGAATTTGATTGATTTCCCTTTTTGCTGCTGAAATGTTTTGTTTATTGTTCATACTTTCGGAACTGTGCATTAAATTATGTCCACATTAAAGGCATTTTTAAACCGACTTCAAAAAAGAAAAGCAGCTCCCTTCTCAATTCGACAGCATTTTTTTATTGCTTAATGTTTTTAACCTTAGAAGTTTCCACTGGGTGAACCGATTTTGATAATTATTTTTTATTTAAAAGCTGTTACTTCCCGTGTGGCCCCATTTAAATTTCGGCTGCCATTCTGACAATTTCATTTAGTCCACATACTTGCCAATTATATTCCTGAACAGAATGCTGTTCAAAATCATCCTCAAAACATCATGTTACTGCAGGTGACAACAAGGCAATATTAATTGGATCATTTAATTTAGGTGATGTACGATTTAATTGATCTCGAGATAAAGCAATGATCAGGGATAGCGTCTGTTGCTTGCGCATATTAGATTCGTATTAGATGCAAAGTCGGGTTAAACAACAATGCGTTATTCTAATGTAGGGGTTCTTAAGTTCTTAAAGGCCTTACACACTCATGTAAAGCATAAAATCTAATTGAAACGGAACGAATGAATTCAGTTGCTGAACTAAGTTTCTGAACCATTACTGCTCTTTTCGTTCTGGTTAGTAAAGAACGCGAGTATTATCTTTCTATAATGAACTTGGACTTGTTCTTCGAGAATGAATTATAATCAATCAAGTACAAAGTGGTTAGAAGATTGCTTTGTGATCAATCACGATAATTGATCAGAACCGCTTAAATATCTTCACAAATGATTACCTCATTAGTAAACTAAACACAATCTAATTAGAGGTTATTTGTTTCTTTACAGCTCTCAGAGCAGCGAATAAACCAACGAATTGAAACGCCAACTGAGGCGCAGCTCTCAACAAATGATCGGCACTGAGGATATGTCCACATCGGCTGGCATGGATATAAGTGAATCCTTTCGTGCGGAGGATCTCTCGAAAACAGATTTCTTCGATTTTGTCACAGCTCCCGACATGGGTATAGGTATTGGTGTGGGCGTCGGCGTCGATGTCGGCGTCGGCGTCAGTCTACACCACCACACACATCAGCAGCAACAGCCAGCGCAGCACAGTCACAACTCCATGCACCAGCAGACGTCACAAAGCCAGCAACAACTATGCGGCACACGCGCCAATGCCAGCAGCATGACGCACGATGGCGGAGGCAATGGAGGGGCTGGGAGTGGTCGCAATGGCCACAACAACAATGGCGGAGATCCCACTTTACAGGGCTATGAGGTAAGCCAATCAAATGGAGTTTAAAGAGACTTGAAGATGATCTGAAGAACAGAATCGATCTTTGCCTGCGAACTATTTGTATTTCCCATATGCCTTACACTGATAAAAAAGTTGCATAGTACAGATGAATATTTTCATATTAAATTTAATGTTCTACTATTTCATATTCAAATCAAATATAAATATCGTAAATTTTACTAAAAACATATTTTATATATTTTTAATTAGGGATTTTAATATGAATAATATTCAACACAAAATGTAAAACTTCGTTATTAAAGTGTTTCATATTCAGTTTAATGTTGAACCATATTAAATATTAATATGCACACATTTCAAAAAACAAATAGTAAAATGTTTAGTTAAATATTCCATAGAAAATTATAATATTTTTCTGAACTTTATATCCGTATTAAAGGGCATAAATAACATCGAGAAAATTAGTTCATAATAACAAATAGATTTTTAAAATTACTTTCCGCTAAAAATTGTTCTATAAAAAAAAAAAAAAATATATATAAATAAAATATGCATCATGGAAATGTCAATATTGAAAAGAGTTAGGAAAAAACCATTAGAGTAGACAAAAAAGTGGCAAAAATATTTTATAATTATAAAAAATAAACCTTTGGCGTGAATCAAACCCACGTCTCCACATCATCACTTGTGATTTAATATCGTCAAACTTTATATTTGATATTTTAATATTAAATTTGAAATTGAGGCGTGCACACTTCATATTTACTAAAACACACGATGGTGAAAAATCGATGGTAAAAATAATTAAATCTATGTTTAAATATTGAAATTTCCGTGCTTTTTTTATCAGTGTAGATTCCCCTTTCCTTCTTAGCCCTGTAGACTTGGCAGTTCCCTTAAGATTTACTCGTGCATTTCGTACCCTTCGATTGCCTATTTGTAGATCTAACTTCGCTTCACATTAACCCTTACGCGTGTTGTGTTCTACAAGTAATTCCAATCTTTGTTCACACAACATTCGAACACTCCATTAAGACTTTCTCATCATTAATATACTTGCAACTTGATTCTGATAATCTCTAATCCTATTTTACTCTACTACTTGTTCCACATGTTTGAATTTTATTTTGAAGCTCTACTATTTAATATATTGAATTCTTTTGTATATTTATAAGTTGTTTTTTTTTTTTAATTTCTTATTATTAATTTTTTTACATTTATATTGCTCATTTTTTGTGCAAAGTTTGCAGATCTTTGTTAACTATAATTAAATAAAAAATCTGTCTTTTTTATCAGTGTACTAACAACAATTGTTTCCTGTTTCTATCTTTTCTATCCGCAGTTCTGGCACAGCGACAAGGACGGCAGTCGGCTAGACTCCAGCTCTATATTTGAAGATCTGGATCGCTACTGCTGGCAGCAGCAACCAGTGACGGCCAGTGCCTCGTCCAGCAATGGACGTAATGGCAGCAATGCCAACCATCCCAGTCCTACATCGCCCCTCGGCACACACCCGCAGCACCAGCAACAACAACAACAGCATCAGCAGACCGCGCACCACCAGCCCAGCAACATTAACAGCCCAGCGGGCGCCTCATCTTCAGCCAGCGTTGCAGGTGGTAACGGCAGTGGCGGTGGAGGTGGTGGCGGCGGTGGCGGTGCTCCCAGTGGCGACACCATTAGCAACATTGATAACACAGACGGCCAGATCTACACACTAACAGTATTAAATGGCAGCGAGCCATGGCTGAAGCGGGCCGAGGCCGAGCAGCTGCCAAGCGCACTTGATCTCGACAGCCTGCTGGGCAGTTTTCCGGGCTACATCAAATCCGAGTATCCCTACGATGATAGCGGATTCACAGACGGCACCAAAGACGTTATTGTCAATGGTGGCGGCCCCGGCAGCGATGCCAATGGCCTGAGCAGTCTTGCCCACAGTTCCCAGCATGGACAGACGTTACCCTCATTGGTCACGGCCATTTCCATAGCAGGCAGCGGGAACAGTGGTGTGGCGGATCTCGGCCAGCAGCTGGCGCAGTTCCAGAACAACAACAACGACTGGCACATGGCCGATCACAATGCGGAACAGAATTCGGCCGAGTCCTTGCTGCGCAGTGCGCTCCAAGGCAAGGGCTACACGAAAGGACTGCACATGCAAAATGGCATTGCCATGATGCCCGGATCGCCGTCGGTCAAAGATGAGGATATGAGACGTCTGCTCTTCACACCCGATGCTGCCGATGCCTTGGGATTTGCTGACTCTACGCTCAGCTCCGCCCAAATGTTCGAGGATGCGCAATCGCTCAATCATGCCGGTGCCCATTTGTTGGGCACGAGTGCTTCCAGTGCATCTGGCCATGCACAGCACAATGGCAATGGAGGTGGCGGCGGCGGCATGCCCAGCATCATTGTCGATGATATGTTCCTGTCGCTGGAGAATGCTTTTAGCGATGATTTCGAGAAAATAAAGCGCATTGCGAACGAGGTATGTACATTTACTTCCACAATCTAAAACAATTCGTATTTATAAAGTTATTTGATATTTTAATTTTTTTAATTATAATTTTTTTGGATTCTTGTGAACTTGTAACTCTGCAATATGTGGGATAAACTAAAAATATCAAATAGGTATAACAAAATGTTCTAGAGCTGAACATTTGTTTTCATTTCCACAGGCTATATTCGATAGAAATCCCCGACAGTCTCTGTCTAGTTGCCAAACCAACAGACCATTAAGAATCGCTCAACTTACTAGTAAATGGTACCGCTCATTTATCACTAAAAAAAATACTAAATACGTGTTATTTTAGCAACATGTTGATCTTTAAAAAACACTAAGTCACGTTTAGATTTTTACCACATTTTAGGACCCCTTTGGTCCTAAAAAAAACTTTATCCATGTTTAGAAACGTGTTGATCTTCGTTCCTAAAAATACTAAATCCATGTTCACTTTTAAATTTTTACCACATTTTAGAAACGTTTTGGTCCTAAAAATACTAAGTCCAAGTTCACTTTTCACTTTATAAACGTGTTGATCTTCGGTCCTAAAAATACTAAATCCATGTTCACTTTTAAATTTTTACAACATTTTAGGACCGCTGTGGTCCTGAAAATACTAAATCCATGTTTACTTTTCTCTTTCTACCACGCTTTATGACCATTTTGCTTCTAAAAATACTAAATCCATGTTCACTTTTCACTTTCTACCACATTGTAGAAACGTGTTGATCTTCGGTCCTAAAAATACTAAATCCATGTTTTATTTAAATTTTTACCATATTTTAGAAACGTTTTGGCCCTAAAAAATGCTAAATCCATGTTCACTTTTCGCTTTGTACCACATTTGGGGAACGTTTTGGTCAAATACCGAACAAATTTGAAACCAAGGGCGTATGCAGTTTTTTCCAAAGGGGGTTTAACAAATTTTAGTTAAATAATACACGGTACCTTATAAATAATAACTTGTTCATACGATCGACAGAAAAACTTCTACAAATCCAACACAGTTCCATTTAAAGACAAAATAGTGCTTTTAATTGAAATTTTTTTCTAAAGATGTAAGGGAGGATTCCCCACTGCGTTATCCTTTATTTGAAATCATTTCTATTGGAATCTATGAAATCTTGTTTGTCTGCATAAAAAAAATAAATTGAAATACTTTCGAAAATTTCCAGAAAACAGACTTAAAACCCCAGCCGGCTAATCCAAGCCAACAATGGAATATAATTTCCAAGCCTTTGAAAATAAGTAGCGTTTAAAATAGATATAGGCAAGATTTTGTCACCTTTAAAAATAAAATATCTTAGATGAATAGATATTCAAATAGAGATATGGAAAGATAGATGCATAGTCACCTAATATATTTGAAGCTGTAAGAAGGAACTTTAAAGGTTTGATAATAGTTATATAAATTCCAATCCTTTTTTTTAGGTGCAACAATTTTGCAATGCTGGCACGCCCACTTCAGGAGACTTTGGAGGCGGAGGTGGCTCGAATGATGTGCTAATGCAAATCTCGCCCAGCGCCACAGCCAGCTCAGCCAATCAACTGCAACAGCTGCACTCGCCAGCGGGCACGCCGACGGGTCAGCCGGTCAGTCAAGCTTTACACATGCAATCAACAACGGCGACAGTGGTGCCGCCACCGCAACCACTGAAGCCAGAGGTCTCCACGTCCACGGCGACGACAACATCCGCGGCCACAACGGGTGCGGGCGCAGTTGGACGCCTGACCGGAGTGAGCAAACCCAAAAAGCAATACAAACGCACCAGCAGCAGCAACAGCAGTGGCAACAATAACAACAACAATAATCCCCATGTGCTTAATCACAACAACAATGCGGGCACAGTGCTGGGCGTGGTGATGGGCAGCACCTCGAACAGCTCCAGCGGAGGCAGCAGCGGCAGCGCCAGCAGCAGCAGCAACAGTCCTCCCGCCAACTGCAATGGCACGGGTGGTGGAGGAGGAGGAGGAGGGGGTGGCACTGTAAGTGGCGGTGGAGCCAGCAGTGGACAGCGCAAGGAACGCTCCCTGCACTACTGTTCCATTTGCTCCAAGGGCTTCAAGGATAAGTACTCCGTCAATGTCCACATACGGACGCATACGGGCGAGAAACCCTTCGCCTGCTCCCTGTGCGGCAAAAGCTTTCGCCAGAAAGCCCATCTGGCCAAGCACTATCAGACGCATATGACGCAGAAGAATAATGGTAGCCTGATCAAAGGCAGCGGCTCCAAGCATCAGCGATCGAGTGCTGCCGCCAACAGCAACAACAACAGCAACAACACTACGACAGCGCAACAGCAGCGGCAGCTCAGCAGCGTTGCCACATCGATTCCCAATCTGGGAGGTGTGATGAGTTCTGGCGTCGTACTCAATAGCCCGAATGCGGCTCACACTGGAGTGCTGCCACCTGCTAATGGCCTGCTCACCAATCGGTAAAACGAATAACTCTGGGTCCAATTTGTCCCACAAACCAACAAACTAGGGAAATTTTCAAAAATGTAGCTGAAAGAATATCAAGGTTTAGTTTCAAATAAGTTTTCAACATTTCGTCACAATAATTTTAGTCCAAAACTATTAAAAACAACATCAAAAGTGATTCAAAAAGTTAAAGTTAAATAATTTAAATTAAAGAACAACAATGATCTAGATAGTATCTAGATATATTTCCGGACTTTCGGGAGCTTTTGGAACAACTTGTTTAATCCACACAAAGTTTTCAGCCATCTCGCCAGTTCTCCATATTTCAGTTAGATGTTCAGCTCAGCTAGTTTTTAGAAACTTCCCAACTATTTCTTGTTCCTTATTCACACAAAAACCAACAACAACAACAACTACCATTATGTACTACACAATACTCGAATACTCTGAGCAGAACTCAAAAATAATAACGAGCTTTGCTAGAGCTTTCAGCTCTCTCGAATTTACGACATTGAAGAATTCCTATTTCAGCTTTCTATATTCAATTCCTATGAAATCAACATAAAAACACAAACACACACACACACGCATATACTTCCATATAAAATACTCAAATTCTCTGCCTACATTTAATTTTTAATCGTTTTACACACAAATTAATTTTAAATGTGCCAAATTTTAAACAAATTTAAATATTTTACTACATACATATATTACGTACTATTGTTAATAATAAAACGAAGCTAATAAGCAAATTAACGCATGGTGATATCACAATGAGGCCAAACGCTTCCTTCCATAACAACCACAAACAATCAACAACAAACACTCTATCAGCTCATTAATTACTTTCCACTTAGAACAGAACAAAATACTGCGAAATACTAAACTATATGCCTTTTTCCTAAATTTTGTCCATATTAAAAGAATTATTTTGTGTACATAGAAGTTGAAAGAAAAGCAAACATTTTGAGGCCAGACGCTTCGGTCTAATCGAAGATATTGAACACTTCCCCAAATTAATATGAGGTGGAACAAAAATGTGGTCATTTAAAAAACAAATAATAATAATTAAATACTTCAAGAAGATTCTTTCTACAAGAGCGAGTAGTTTACATGTAAATATTGTTTTAAAGCAATGCAGGAATGGACTTGACTATGCGCTGCTGCCAGCTTCCACAGAAACTGCTTTGTTTCATTAATTTATTCCTTCTTAGAATGGAACAGACATCATCCGACGAGTGTGACGTACACGCGTTGCGTTTACACTGTTGCCAGCTCGCACAGAAACTGTTTTGTTTCATTCATGCATTCCTTCTTTGAATGGAACAGACATCATACACACGTTACGTTTACGATGTTGCCAACTCAAAAAAGAAACCGTTTAGTTTCCACATTCAGGTTCTTCCACTATTCCTTAAAGTTAGATTAATAAGCATACTTTTTATTATCGAATTTTAAAACCATTTTGACTTTCTATAATTTTTCCACAAACTACACAATAGCACGAAACAAATTATTAAATGTTTAGAAAAATCATATAGAGATATGTTTAACATTTTACTAAATTAGACCACTGATTAATTCAACAGATATAGACCTTTAGATAGTTCGGGGAAGAGTTCAAAATGGCCGTAAAAGAATCTTCACAAAAATGCAAAAATATGTATATCTTAAATAGAAATTGTTTTTAGCAGCAACACATTGCACTTGCCATTAAATTGTTTAATTAAACGTATATACAGGTATATGTATAGTATATATATACTTGTACATTCATAATATATATGTATGAACCATATGGAAAAACTACAACATTTTTCAAATAACTTTGCAACAAATTAAAGGCATCCGAACATGCAAATAAGCTTAAGTTGTCTAAGTTGTCTACTAACTAAATTAGTTAATTAAACTGCCAATTATTTTGTGATAGTTTTAATAAAATCAAATACAATTTTACTGGTGTTTGGGTTACGTTACTGTAATGTTATGATTTGTTATAACTCTTTGTAATTTGTATGCAATATTTTCTAATTTATTGACTTTAGTTTATGTAAATAAAACATGTACTACTTAAGCCTTTGTTTATACTTAAAAAGCACAAGCAAGTAAAATTCATAGTTAATGTTTGTTAGTTATTATTTATGCACACACACACCCACAGACACCCACAGACACCGACAGACACAGACACACACATCACAAATATTATATACACAAAAGAGCTATCAATATCTTGTAAGTTTTAACTTAGATTTTCTTTAGTATTGCAAACATTAAAATAAAACGTTTTATTGACAATTTAAATGTGTATGGAGATTTCACTGAGGCAGTGAAGCCTGCTGCCGGCTTTGAGTTAATTATTTCAGCGGGGACTTCCTTGGATCAGCAGCGCGGCGACTGCATATAAAATGTTTTCTCCTTTAAAGGAAAGATCACTTCAAAGCGCATGTCAACAAGCTCGGAGTACAACACACAGGCGGCTCTTGTCTGTCAATCCCGGTACAGAAAGAGTACAGAAGTGCGAAGCCTGGAGACTGGGAGTTTGATAGACGCCTGGGGCTTGCTCTTTGTAACATTAACAGCAGCTCATTTGGCGGGGAGGGAGGGGGAAGAGTATAAGACAAACAGCACGCATCTCCACAGATTAGAGAAAATTTTTCACTTCAAGTATCTTGGCCAAATCAAGTCTTGCCCGTCTGCCTGCCCGCCTGCCTGTCCTCCTGGCCTGCTCTTCAGCCACACAAGCACCGTTTCAAGTCATTTGAGATCGAAACATGTCGATTAGGGAATTTCAAGAGGCGCCAGTTGCGGAGCGCACTCGCAGCAGCCGCAGGCACGGATGGCACAGGTGGCTGTCGTTTGGCAATTCCGTGCTGCCAGTGCCCCAAGACCAAGAGGATCTGCCAGACCCCACCAATGCAGTCTTTGCTTTGCTACAAGCACACGTCTTAATTGCTTTTAATGTTGAACCTTGTGCTTGAGTGGCGCCCAAATATTTGCACAACTTCTCGTATTACGAGTACTCAACAATTCGAATGATACAAGTACATGCGTCTTTCCCACAAGGCATTTATGCCTACAAGTTTCTCAAAAGCAAATTGCAGTAAATAAAAACTATCTCATCTCCAAGATAAACTATTGAACTATTTGTTTCTGGACAAATTTAATTCTATCGAAACACCTACTAAGCTCCAACACCAAACAGTTGTTCTTAAAAAATACAGGCAGCCCCAACTTAAAGGTTTCAACCGCAAACAACTTTAAGCAGTCGCTTCCTCTATCACATGCATGTCTAATTAAATCGTTAAATCTTTGTGCTATCCGCCTGTTCTAATCGCCATTGAAGTCTAATAAAGTGCATTTAGATAAAGCAAAGCCTAACGACATTTTTATTTTAGTCGCTACTGCTCTTCATTCTCCAGAAGAGGGCCCGTCTATGTCGAGCGTCGAAGCACTTCCGTGAAATAGTAATTCCGGTCCCTGTTGCTTTGCACACCTATATTTCACGCTACAATATATTGTAGAGTGCACTTAAAAAAATAGTTTAAAAGAAATTAAGTTAGCTACTAAACTGCTGCAATTTGGTTATACCAAAAGAATGCGACTTTTAAACAACAAATTAACAAAATTCAAGTACAACTAAAGCCTAAAAAAAACTTTTTAAATCTTTTTAATCTTAATACCCATCATTCCCAAATTTGTATTATAATCTATTTATTCTTGCCGCCAAGCCGTTGCCACAGTATTTCCAGCAATAATACTAAGCCAGACAGCAACACCATGAATGCAAACCCGTACCAAATATACACCAGGTCTTCCACCTGCATGGCTCGATACTCACGCCTTGGGCTCAAATCCTTCAGGCTTAACTGACCGGCCTCAATTTGCTCCGTAAATCCCATTCTCAATGCGTAGGTGTGCAAGCCGTGTGCTGACATTTCCAATATCACCGTGTTTATGGGCTCCATGTAAATGGAGTTCTCGTGCACGGGAAACCCTAGTGGGACCGTGTTAAAGAAACAAAAGTCATCACGCATGCGAAACAGCACGCTGGTGAATATCTTTTGTTGTTCCGTAACTACGATCCATTTGGACGAGGTCATCATGTAGCCGTACTTTGTATTGAATGAGTCCCGATCACTTATATAGCGACTAAAATTGGACTCCACCTTAAACATGGGCTTGTACTTTCGGAACTCGACCAATCGACCGAGTAACTCATCGTACTCCGGTTTCCAAGCCACCACTTTCAAATTCGATTCGAGGACATCGTCAAAGGTGCGATATGGCGCCGTCTTCGGCATGCTGGTAACATAAGCCGAGAAGTACGAGTTGAACCAAACGGTGAGTAAAATTCCCAGCACACAAATCTGAATGTAAATGCCACGCACCAGGGTCGGTGGGTGGAAGACCTCGGAGAAGGACTGCCCCAAGGCTCCACGCAGACAGCTGTCGTGTAGAAAAAACTCGTAGATGTGAACTCCATATCCGAAGAATAGTAAAGTAGCCGATAACACCGTGGATATCACAACCATAGTTCCCACCGTCAGCAAAAATGCATCCAACTCGAAAACATTGATGTAATATTGGGCCGCGGGAATATTGGGCTCCACGGGCAGCATCAGACACCAGTTTAAAATTTCATATGGATAAGTGAAGCCGTAGAAGGGTATGGTGGGGTATGTGATGCCCATTGATATATCTACCGTGCCATTGAGCACCGCCTTTGTAAGATCGGTAGATGGAGCGCCGGGCTTAACGGGCAATGGCTCCACAAACGTGCAATTATATTTCTGCTGGAAAGCGTTCATGAAGTGCCCGACAGTTCCCTTGAAAACGATGCGTCCCTTCTTGTTGTAATAGGCAATAATACGCGGAACTGTGCCACCAATTATGACAGGTAGTCTGTAGCCGTGCATATTGCGAAGGCGATCTGGAAATATCGTCTCATTCGGATTATACAACCGCTGCTCCAACCTAAAGGCTGGGAAGTGGGTGTAGCTGTAAAATGTTCCTGTAGCCTGCAAATGAAGGTGTTTAATAGTATTACATTCCAATGCCAGCTTTAAGAATGATAAATTATGAAATTTATCTTTTATTAATTATTATAAGATTATTTAAGTTAGTAACTTAATAGATTTTTGAAGATTTATGTATTTTTGATCTTCCTATTGGTGTTCTTCAATACCTGACAAGGTAATGAGCTTTAAACGTTTTACAAACTCAAGAGAAAAACTTGTGACGAAATTATTTAATATACTCTAAGTATTGCTTTAGAGAAAATATCGCCTATTGATGTGAAAAATATCAAAATGAAAAACGAAATAGAATTATGAAACAAATGAGGTATTGAAAGCACAAAGATGTTGCTTCTGCACTTTGCAATTTTAATTCAAATAATTTTTTGATAGCTTCACTTATTCCCAAGCAAGCCAAAGCTTATCGGAAAATATGTGTATATTTTTATAGAACAAGCCTTGGTACTAATATTGACTCTGCCTTACCTGATGATCCGCAAACATTGCCACCACATTCAATAGTTGTTGTCTCCAGCACAACTCAAATAACTTAAAGAGAAACATATAATCCTCCTTCTCCAGTTCCACTAGGAACAGAACGCGTGAGCTGGTCATGTGACGTAGGTCTCCAACCAGGGCTTTCAACAGTCCATCATGATCCATCAAGTTCATGCTTGACAAGTAAACCATTGTCAAGAGGTCGGTACGATGATTATTTTTCAAGTAAAAGCTGACCCGTTCATTAAGCTGTATGAGAGGCACTCCTATCTGATCCATTATGTCTTTTACAAAATGGCTATTGTCCTCCATCCTTGTGAAGTTAGTCGATATGGTTGCATTCATATTCTTCAAGAGCATCAGATAACCAAAGTGCTGCTGATATCTTATATCTCGCAGGAATTGAATAACTGTGAAGTTCTCTAGGCCAAGACTTGGACTTATAACACTCACTGAGAGGACAAGGAAGCGAACTAAATTCATGACGCCGGGCAGAGAGCCAAATAATGAATGCTTAAAAGCAGCTTATACGGGTATAATAACTGAATAAGAACTACTTGTATAGGAATAATAATAATGAATGAGCATGTTAGCCCTAGAGACTACACGCAAATCGCATTCGTTAATTAATTCGAACATTCTTTAACGAACAGGAAGGACATTGTACACGACTGTCTTATTTCCGACAGACAAGTAACAGACAACAAATTATACACCTATTTGATGGATTTCAGAACAACGTATTACCATCATAATTATCAATAAGAATTAAGTGACTCAACCAAAGCATTTTGAAACATTCTTGGGAAATATAGTAGAAAAAAGTTTGCAGCTAATTTTTAATAAACAATTTGTATTATTATTATTTGAAATGGTTCGACATTGGCGATTTGGCAATTTAATTATCCCGGCCAGTATTTTGTAAGACCTGTAATTAGAAACAATCTGTTTAAAAATTATATGCAAATATGTGATTTGTTATGTCCCTTTATTTGTGGATTGGGGCGGACTTTCGGGCATTTATTACATTTATTTTAACAGGATTATGGAATTGAAAAGTCTCCCTAAAAGTCTTTTTTCTTTTATAGGTATCTTCGAAGCACCTTATCTAAATACCTTCCCTAAATACTTTTTCTAAGTACATATTCTCAACTATTCTCAATACTTAATATTTATACAAGTATTAAACACTAATTATTTCTTTTCGTGTAATCTTTCTTTGAGTTGGTTTTCCAACATCAGTTGGAGCCCTGTTCCTTACCTCACCAGATGCGAAGGCTTCTCTCCAGTTTCACAGGCTTGACAATGTCTAATGGAGCCTTCCGGTTCTCATCTCCTTTTATTTCAGCATGGGGGCTTGATTTAACCCTTTCTATCGATGGTAATTTGTCACCTAAAGGAACAAATGCCTTCGCTGGCTATGTAAACCAAAAACTCTTTTTTCTTTAAACTATAGTTTCTTTCTTTTATACCTTCTCTTAAAAATGGAACAAAGCTCCGATAAATCTATAACTGTTGGTCATGAAGATTAGATAGAATTTGGTTTCATTAATGTACCATTATTGTTTTCTTTTTACAGATAAAAGTTTCTTTATAATGTAATTGAAATTGTTTTTTATTTTGTACAAATTATTATATAAGGATCATATTTAATTCAATTCTATATCGTAACAACTGTAGTTTAGCTTTGGCTACGGCATCCACAGACTAGTCTTCTTTCTCTTGTTTTGACGCCGATACCACAATACTTATATTAATAATACTAAGGTAGACAGCAATATCATGAAAGCAAATCCATACCAAATATATACCAGGTCCTCCACCTGCATGGCTCGATACTCACGCCTTGGGCTCAAGTCCTCGAGGCTTAACTGATCTGCCTCAATTTGCTCCGTAAAGCCCATTTGCATCGCATATGTCTGCAAGCCATGCGCTGACATTTCCAGCATCAACATCTCTATGATCGCCATGTAAATGGAGTTCTCGTGCACGGGAAACCCTAGTGGAATCGTATTAAAAAAACAAAAGTCGTTGCGCATGCGAAACAGCACGCTGGTGAAGATCTTTTGCTGTTCCGCCACTACGATCCATTTGGACGAGGTCATCATATAGCCATACGTGGTGTCGAAAGTGTCACGTTGGCTTAGGTACCGGCTGAAACTGGGCTCTACCTTGAACATGGGCTTGTATTTCCGGTACTCGGCCAGGCGACCGAGTAACTCATCGTACTCGGGTTTCCAAGCTACCACTTTCAAATTCGATTCGAGGACATCGTCAAAGGTGCGATATGGCGCCTTCTTCGGCATGCTGGTAACATAGGCCGAGAAGTACGAGTTGAACCAGACGGAGAGTAAAAATCCCAGCACACAAATCTGAATGTAAATGCCACGCACCAGGGTCGGTGGGTGGAAGACCTCGGAGAAGGACTGCCCCAAGGCTCCACGCAGACAGCTGTCGTGTAGAAAAAACTCGTAGATGTGAACTCCATATCCGAAGAATAGCAAAGTAGCCGATAACACCGCGGATATCACAACCATAGTTCCCACCGTCAGCAAAAATGCATCCAACTCGAAAACATTGATGTAATATTGGGCCGCGGGAATATTTGGCTCCACGGGCAGCATCAGACACCAGTTCATAAGTTCAAATGGATATGTATAGCCATAGAAGGGTATGGTGGGGTATGTAACTCCCATTGATATGTCGGCGGATCCATTGCGAACTGCCTCAATTAGATCTATAGATGGGGCAAAATCATTGGGCTTTGCGGGCAATGGCTCTACAAAGGTACAATTGTATTTCTGCTGAAAGGCACTCATGAAATGTCCGATAGTTCCCTTGAACACGATGCGTCCCTCTTTATTGTAGTAGGCAATAATCCGTGGCACCGATCCACCAATTATTATAGGTACTTTGTAGCCGTGCATATTGCGCATTCGATCGGGAAATATCGCTACAGTTGGATCATATTCACGCTCCTCCACGGTAAAGGTCGGAAAGTGCGTGTAACTATAAAACTTTCCGGTTGCCTAAAATTGTAAAAGTGTTAAATTATTCTCATTTTAGGGATTTATATTGGATGGGTGCAAGATTTCCAGTGAGCTTTATCATTATCCTATATCAGTCGAAATCGATTGTACTTGTTCAATCTATAAAGCTTGCTTTGAATTGCCAATTTTTTTACAAGTATATAATGTCTAATAAAATTATTATTTGGATTGATTTCTACAGCTCTTAATACTTAGACTGAGTCTTCCGATCACAACATCGTATTGTTCAAATTTGTCTAAAACTTTCAGTAAACTGATACAAACGCTAAATTCTATTCGCATTATACAGTATCGAGGATCTGGACTACCCGAAAATTTCACTATTTTCTTATATATAACACCTTAAAGGCGCTTCCATTATAATCGAACAAGATATTTATTGCTTCATAAAATACCTAGCATTTTTGTAGCTCACCTGATGATCCGCAAACATTGCCACCACATTCAAAATTTGTTGTTTCCAGCACAACTCAAATAACTTATAGAGCAAAATATCATCTTGCTGCTCCAATTCCACTAGGAATACAATGCGCGAGATTGTCATGTGACGTAGGTTTGCAACCAGGGCTTTCAGCAGTCCATCGTGATCCATCAAGTTCATGCTTGACAAGTAAACTATAGTCAAGAGATGGCTACGGTGCTTGGCTTTCAGATAAAAGCTGACCCGTTCATTAAGCTGTATCAAAGGCACTTCCAACTGCTCCATTAGGTTCCTCACAAAATTGTCATTATCCTCCGCTTGCGTAAAGTTCACCGATATGGTGGCATTGCTGTTCTTTAAAAGCACCAGATAGTCATAGCTCTGCTGATGTCTTATTTCCCGCAGCAAATCTAAAACTGTGAAGTTCCTTAGTCCAAGACAGGAACTTATAACACTCACTAAGAGGACCAGGAAGCGAACCAAATTCATGTCTCCAGACAGAGTGCAAAGTCCTGAATGCTTAATACTCATTTAAATATTAACCAGCGTTTTGGGGCAGAATTAATGAAACGTGTAAGAATTTGAACCCAAGAGACACAATCATAACACACTCGTTTCGATAATTATTGAACGCACTTTTTGGAAATCAAACACAACCGTCTCACTAATTGGATATTAAATTTGACGTAATAATTAACGGACGAATTAAGCAGATATTTAGTCTAACACCTTCTTCGAGTTTTGGCGAAGACTGCAAACCAAACACCTATTTTCCTAGACTCTTTTAATTACACAATCTTTCTTACACGTTTAAGACTTACTTCAGAAATAGTTTTACTATCATTTCAAATGTCCGATAATTTTGTATCTTCGCAGAGATAGAAAATAGCATAATTAATATACATACTCGTAGTTATTATAGTATTTATTTATGAACTGAATCTTAAAGCTTAAATTACATTTTCCCAGTTATTATTATATTATTATTACTCTAGATATTTATTTATAAGCTAGACTAAGTAGTTCCTTGAAAGAAAATCCACCGAATAAAAAATAATCAAAACAATTAGAATTTAGAATCTCTCATAGTAAAACATTTCAAACAAAATTGGCGTGACTTCAGCAATTAGTTCAAAATATGTATTTTAAGATTCCAAAAACGCAAAAGGTCTGGAAAGGAACTTCTCACGCAGACCCATAAAGACTAACAGGAAGTAAGTTTTATTTAATTTTTTTTTTTTAATAATATGAACTGGGACTTCCAGAAAGGTAGCAAAACTAGTGTTTGTCACTTTTAAACTTCTTGAGAACCGTTGCGTTCATACAGATGGACATAGCTTTAAAGACCCTCTACACTAAACTAGTATACATGTTTACCTTTTAGTTAGAAGATATAGAAACTCTATCTAAACACCTTGGCTATTAATAACTTAGCATGTAAGCATTGCTGCTCGTATGTAAGCCCAAGGGAGTACATGCATACTCTGTCATTAATTAAAACACCTATAATGGCCTAAAATCTATAAAGTGTGGTTCCGAATAAGGTAGTGGTATCAAAAATTAATTATTTTGGCCCTTCTTGTTTTATATCCTGTATGTATGTCATAGACAGAATGAAACGGACTCTTTCTTACTCCGAACCGAACGGAAATATATCATTTATATTTAAATATTTATTATTTTTATGCATGTTTTTCAAATAAATATGCTGCAGGAAGAAGAAAGCATCTCCGACTCCATAAACTACACTTCTAATATCTAAAAAAAATTATCTAAAAAATATAACAAATATGTTTGAAAACATGGCATACAAGTTTTCTGCCACTTATTAGTTTGTATATTCTATGTAAAGTATTTTAATTACTATTTAATTGACTGTTTTGCAGGAATCCATTTGGATTTGTTCGATAGTCTTCAGTATTATGTGAAGATCGCTTCTAAGATTATTATTAACTTACACATTAAAGCAGAGTTTTCCACACAAAGCATCGATTCGCAAGCAAAAACAATTTTCAACCATTTCATTTATTTATTTATTTAATTTATTTCGTCGCCAAACAAAGCTGTAGATGTAAAAAAAATTAAATCATTAGAGAACTGAAACTAAATAAAACTAAAAATATAAATTTTTAGTTTTATTTGCCAAACGGCTAGCTATGCCCCGATTCACAGCAGAAAGAGCCAGAGACGTTATTGGACCTAATAAAAAAGAAATGAAGATGAAGATATAGCAATACAAATAAAAAAGAATTATGACAACAAAAAAGGAATTGAGCTTTATCTCATGGGAAATGGGAACAAAAAATAAAGAAGAAGTATAGCTAACTTAAAATAATAACAATTTAAAATACCCAAAAATAAAAACAAATATCTAAAAGATAATATATAATTGAAAGCCAAAAGGCGGAGTAAACAGTTCACATCTTTGCGGAAATTAGTGCAAAGCAATTTAAAATACTTACAGCATTATGTATAATAGAAATAATAGCTCAAGTTCTCGTTCAACCAACGAAAACACCTTCGTCGCCAATACCAAACTAGCTCTAGCAGAAAGAGTAGAGCTGACATCGTATAAATAAATGCGCAGGCCAGATAAATATCCTTCAGGTCCTCCGTATGCATAGGGCGAAATTCCTTGTGAGGACTCAAATCAATCATTTTCAACATGCGTGCCTCAATCAATTCATTGAAGGCTATGCGACGCCAGTACTGTAGTAGGCCAGTGTCTATTACGTCCAGGATAAGGCGCTCCAGTGGCTCCTTGAATACGCTATTCTTCCTGATGGGAAATACAATTGGAATGGCATGGTAGAAGCATAAGTCCTCGCGCAGTGCAAACAACGGATTGGAAAACACTTTCTGATGTTCGTTGATGATGGCCCACTTAGTGGTGGTCATCACGTATCCGTATTTTGTGTTGAAGGAATCGCGCAGCTCCAAAAAGGTCCGAAAGTCCGGCTCCAGCTTGAACATCGACTCGTACTTTTTCATTGGCTCAGCACGAACGGCAAGCTCATTATACTCTGGAGTCCAAGCAACCACCTTAATGCCCGATCTGAGTACGTCCTCGAAACTACGAAAGGGCGGTTCTTTCGGCGGACTCGTCACATATGACGAATAATAGGCATTGTACCAGGAGGTGAGCAAAATTCCCAGAATACAGAGCTGCAGATAAATGCTTCGCAAGATCCACGGCGCCTGTTTGGCTTCTATGAAGGACTGCCCCAGGGCTCCGCGCAAACAGCTATCGTGCAGAAAAAACTCGTAGATGTGGACGCCGTAGCCGAAGCGGAGGAGGGTTGTCGACAGGACCATGGAAAGAAGGACCATTGTGGAGACCGTCAGCAAAAAGGCACCCAAGTCGAATACCCTCACATAGAACTCGCTGGGCGTCACTTCTGCATCGACGGGCATCATTAGACACCAGTTTATCAAATCGTAGGGATAGGTGTAGCCAATGAGGGGAATGTCGGGATAGGTGGCACCCCAGGATATTTCCACGGTCCCATTCAGCACGGCTCTCTTTAAGGCTTGGGCGGGCGGTATGAACGAAATGTTCAATGGCAATGGCTGCACAAAGATGCATTTATATCTCTGCTCAAAGGCTGTCAACAAATGGCCCACAGGTCCCCCGTATACAATATCTCCCCTGGCATTCCTATAGCCAATAAAGCGTGGCGAGGAGCTGCCAATGACGACTGGCAAGCGATAGCCTTTCATGTCTCCCACAACAGCTGAAATCAAATCGAGGTCATCTATTTGTTGTTGTTGCAGCTGCATCTCAGGAAATGGCGTATAACTGTGTACCAGACCATTGCTCTACAATCAAAGATATTCTAAATAATGAGAGGCAATACAGTTCCATTTAGAAATTACCTCAAATTCCGGCAAGATGGCTAGCACATTCATCAGATGATGTTTCCAGCACCAGGAGAAGATGGGAAGGAGCTGCTTCTCGCGACCCAAAAGAAACAATATATGTCCGCTAATCATTTGGTTCAAGTCCACCAACAAGGATCGCAGTAATCCCTTTTCCTCCATTGGATCATGCTCCAAGTCTACTATGGCCAGCAAGTTCTTCGAATGCTTGGCGTATAAAGCGTAACTGGCTAGTTTGTTGAGCTGGATTACAGGCACGGGCTGCTGCCACAATAAGCCTGGCCAATTAATACCCGACACATTCCCCAACAGCAGGATATAATGTATGCCTTGTAACGTATAAATTTTCTGCACCAACTGCCTAACATCGAATACTGGCGCTGAAGAGCCAGCTATCCACAATAAAGGGAAGCAGAACAGCAACGCACCTCTGAACCTCATGACGACGCTCCTATGATTGACAGCTCTGGGCCAACTGATTGAAATATAACAGCCCCTGAGCACGTCCACCCACAAAAAATTGATAGGGACGCTAGGGAGAAGCAATTTAAATGCAAAAGCTCTCCCCTTCATTAGCATTAGCTCGTTAGTTGCCTAGGTCGGGCAATACAAAGGTTGTAGGTGCGATGGTTATTAGAGTGCACAGATTTTGTGTGGGCCTTGGGAGGAGTATATTAAAATATATAAAAGGGTTCTTATAATAAGTTCGTGCAAGTATGTGGAAATTTCTCTTCTGAGGAAGGCGATACAGGCGGATAAATCGAAATGAATGTCAATTAAATAATTAGCAAGATGAATGGAATATCTAGGGCTTCACGAGTTTCTGCGCATTTAAGAGGATTTACTTCCCTTACTTTTCTGATTTTAACAATTGAAAGAAACGATAAGATTAATCATTGAATCATCGAATCTGCACCATCGATGAAAGCCAGTCAGTTTTAAGCATCGGACTATTTTTGATGGCGAATATGTATTGGTTGAAAAAATCCGTACATTATAACAGGTATAGTATTACAATGGTAGAAATATTAGATAACGCCTATTGTCCCCACAATTCTCTACGATTGCAAAAATAACTAAGCAGATAAATATTTGCTTGAGAATAAAAAGCATTCTTCATTTTCAATAGCCTTGCAAAATAATGAAGATATTGAAGAACTCAAGAGAGTTCTCAACAAGAGATAGGCGCCATTTTCCCATCCATACTTCAAATGACTAATATAGCCCTATGATCTATGCCTGTAGTATTGCTAGTTGACCTAGAGAAGTACTAGCATTCCTGTCCAAAACAGACAAGTGCTGACACGACCAATAAACCTACACTCATTCCTGCTGAAGACAGTAGAGTCGCTGTTGGAAGTTCCCATACGGGCAGGCCTGTGGAAAACAACCAACAAAAAGGGGAAACTCTCTAGCAGCCTGCATAGAAAAAACTATCTATTAGTGATGTACATATGCATCGATAAATCGATGTATATCGATATTTACGTAAGGGAGTGTTTTCGAGTTCAACTCGATGTTTATAGATTCGATGTTTCGATTGATTTTTATAAAAACATCGATGTTACGGACATTTCTAAGCAGCGAAATCCCAGCAAACACACAAAAGTAATAAATCTGTATCAAAAACGTACTAAGAAAACATGCCAAAGCAAGCTATTATTCCCATTTCAATCGTAAATTCGGGGCCTAGCATATCCTTAACGAGCTAGCAGGAGTCCCACAATGTTTGTTTCTGAGCAGGGTTTTGGTTCGAAGACTGATTGAAATTTCAAAGTTATCGTAAGATTTAATAACTGTCCAACCTAGGACAGATCTTAAATAATGTTCAAAAGTGAATAAAATACGTAAATTGCGAATTTATACGAAGAATTTAAGTGAATCCATGTTGGGATTAACAACTTACTTTGGAATAGTGTCTTAGCAGCTCTTTAGCATTATGCATTTTAAAGATTACACTCATTATTATAACACATATTTTTTAATTACAATTTTTTTATTTAATGCAAAACTACGCTTCTAGCTTCTAGCGCATATAATATGCACAGCAGAGTTGAACCCGCTCGTCGTTAGCTTTTAACTTTTGTTTTCTATTACAAATTTTTATGAAAATTCGCTGTATCGATGTTAAGTTTTTCGATTTTCGTTTCCGATGTAAAACATCGATGTTCATTTCAGATTTACAACACTAGAGAGTCTCTACCATTAGAACCAAGTATGGGAATTGGCTCATTAGATTTAAATTCAAAGAAAGAGCATTATAGATTAGCTAAAAACGAATTCAAACCATTCTATATTCTTCTTTTTGGTTCCTCTGTTTATTGTATTTTTGGAAAACAGCAAAATAGCTTATTGGCAGGAGACAGCGAATATCCTACACTACCTAAAATTACTTAACATGAAACTCTCCAATATTTTCCAATTTCAAGAACTTACACACTACATCTACTAAGTACATATACGAATTTAAATTATGATCTTAGAAGGAAGTGCATCAGACGCCTAGTGTTATTGTTCAATATGCTAATGAGCATTGCAAACGGTTGTAACGAGAAGAAAGAATCCCTATCTTTCGCTTAACATTTGTGCATCTAGTCTTCTGGCAAAATCGAGCCACTTTCCCACTCCTTATGCACATAAGGATATCGTTCGCCAGGCGCACATAGGTTTTTATATTTTCTATCCAGACGCCGGCAGCTGCTGCCCGCACTGGGGCCTATCTTATAGATGGGCTTATGCAGCATGGTGTCTGTGGAGAAGGCGCAGCTGATATGGAAATGGTGATAGTACTCGTTCGTAAATCTCAAGGCAGCGCAGCCTACGTGCGAGTTCCGATCGGACATTAGTAGAATGGGTCGCCGCACACTCCTGCAGATTAAATGGAGTCCATTACTGGATATGTAATCGATGTATACAGATTTCCTCACTTACGGTTTCGGCAGCGCAGGCGTCAGGTACATTGACAAAGATTTGGACACATACGATGCGTCTGCAATCCATCTCTCGATCAGCGTACGTATTATATTTATGTTGGTGTGGATGTCGATGCTGCCCGGATAGTTGAACTGATCGAAAATGGAGCCGATGGGGCGATAGTGCGGCGAGGACATGCAGGGCCTCGGTCTGGGCAGGCAACGGATCACATCCATGACGGCGAACTGCATCAGCTCCTCGGACCAGATCATGCGCACCATTCGAGCGGCCGGAAAGAGTGTGCGTGTATAGCCATGGGCCGACGTGTTGCGAAACTCGTTAATCATATTTAAGATCGTCGGCTTGTACTTGCCCAACGGCACGACCCGCACACCCGATTTGCAGTGGGCGCTAAAGTTCTATAAAGGATTTGAATGGCAATCAGCTTTGCAGTTCCATTTACGGTAGAAAGAAACTTACTCCGCTGTTATGGCAGGCCAAGTTGGTCAAACCGCACTTGGGCTGCACGCAGTAGGTATGGGACTTGAAATTCTGGAAGTCCTGTAATGAAATACAATATAAACACCTGCTAAGCACTAGAGCTAGCAGTGTAAGCCATTGGGCTTGTCGCGCCATGGCTAGAAACCATACTGTGAAGCCAGGCTTACCCGCAACCATTTTATAAGCTGCGACATCGAACTTGAACTTGATAGGCAACTGTAATGGAAATGATATTGGATTACCACTTCGTAAAACAGTTGTCCACACATTACAACCCACTACAACAACAGAATTCGATCCATAAGTGTCACATATCTGAATATAACAAACAAATCGACTGATACACAACCATATCAGCTCGGCTCCCCTATAAACACAAAGTTGAAGACAGTTTGTTGGCTTCACACAGCGCAGCATTTTAAACCGGGAAACATCATCTTAAGCCTAAGCTAGGGGTATTTAATATAGACAATTTTCTGTTGAACCAGTAAACTTAAATTGTATGTCCACTCCTTTGTTTTCTTCATTATAATTTGCTGATTGTCCATTATCCAGATTGCAAATATACTTGTAAAACATCTGGTAGAAATAGAAAAACTCTTTTGTTTCCAAACAAAGTTATTTTCTGTTGCTCACTAACTGAATCTTTCTAATAGTGAAACTAAAAATATTTTGTACCAGATTTTCAGTTTTAATATCAAAGGTTGATTTAATGACTCAATCATTTTTACTTAATGTACCTAAACTTTAATACGAACGAGTAGATCGTTGAATAAACTAAACTAAACTTCATTCCTATGGCTTTTATAATAATAATATCCACAGATTTTAATGAAGCTACAGTTTTCCCGTTTTTTCACAGAGAATATACATAATAATAAAACACAACTAAAAGACCTGAAACTTCAAGATTGATAATAATCGTTTTTAAAATAAGAATACCTCTTTCATGTACAATAACATGAAACGTCAACGTTACAAACGGAAATTAAAGTGCCTGCGAACTGCTTGACACTGCTTGTTTCCTGCTATGTAATGGCGTGTCATTAAGAAAGCAACAACAAATGCCTTTTGAGCTTAAAGTATAAATATGAATATAACTTTCTTTGAAGTAAAACGATATGCATAAATATAGGCAGAGTGATAAAAAACCTAAAATTGTGTGTCTGTAGTCTTCAATTATAGGGATTTAATTATTTATTTCATCGACAAGCAATGCAGTCGATGTACATAAAAAAAAAATCAATACAATAGAGTAAACTAAATAAAACTAAATTAATAAAAAAATAAAAATTACAAAAATATCTAATAACAAATCCGATACGGGGTGGGGGAATTCAATTTGCCAAACGGTCAGCTACGTTCGTCAGATACGTTATTAGACCTATCAATAAAGAAATGGAGATGAAAAAATATATATAAAATAAAAGATAAAATATAATTAAAAATTAAAACCTGAAAAATTAACCTGTAATGTTACATTTACACTTCTATGTTTTCTATATTCAAGTAAAAAAGGATACAAGGCTACCTAATCTAGAGTGAATAATTTTTTAATTTCCTAAATCTTTATTTAAGATTGGTACCGGGTTGAAAAATTATAAAATAAATTATAATTAACCAAATGAATTATTATAATTAACTTATGAATAACTGAAGCCATAAATGTGCTTTTAAGCCCTGTTTAGAGGGTAGTTTAAAAATAAAATGTTAGGTCTTAAACGTAATAATTTATATACACCATAAAATCATTTATTTTCGCGACTTGTAAAAGTTTTGTGTGTAATTTCTTACTATTTCTTTCTTTTGGATCAATTTTAAATATCTAAGTATAAATCTCTGAATCGAGCTCATATTTATTAGTAAATTGTTGAGTGTACTGTTCAAACAGTTTTTGATTTGGACCTAATCATATAATCATTATAATACCATGTTTTGATTAGTATTGGGAGCGTGCCTGTCATGGCACGAATCCATTAGCTACGTATTCCAGTTAGCTCCCTTCGTATTATTGCCGGCCCAAACGAATCAAGTCACAGGTGTACTTAAACTCAATCGAGTTGCTTGTAGAGGAGCGCAAAATGAAGTTTTATTTGTGGCTATCAATAGGTAGGCATATTTAGTTGGGCTATCCTCCAGAAACTAATAATTGAGCGGCTTGGACAGCCTTGGCATTTGTTGTAAGCGTTCAAGGTGATGACGAAGGTGCCACCGCTGCCCCCGCAGAACCTGCGGCCGCCGCTGCCCCGGCGGATCCGGCAGCCGCTGCTGCCCCGGCGGATCCGGCAGCCGCTGCTGCCCCGGCGGATCCGGCAGCCCCAGCTGCCCCGGCGGATCCGGCAGCCCCAGCTGCCCAGGCGGACGCGGCGGCCCCCGCTGACCCGGCGACCCCCGCCGCCCCGGCGGCCCCAGCTGCCCAGTCGGCCCCGGGTGCCCCCACTGACAACGCTGCCCCCGCTGCCCCGGCGGACGCGGCGACCCCCGCTGTCAACGCCGCCACCGCCGCTACCTCTGTGAACGATGACAACGAGGAAAATGGCGATGAGGAACAGGAGGACATTATCGATGTGGTGTACAAGCCAAACACCGTTCCAGCAGATGATACCGTTAACCATTGTGGAACCTGCTCGATCGCCTCTAAATCGGCATTGTGCGGCTATAATGGACACTGTTTTGCCATTTTCAAAAATGAATGTGCCATGAGTCGACTGAATTGCAAACTGCGCGATGAACCAAGTGAGATGCAAATATATAATACTATAGACAACTTTCTCGATCCAAATATATGCATTCTTTCTAGTGTTTCTTCGAAAGGTCAATTTCGGCGACTGCACTATGACGAAGGTTAAGAAATGCGCTCCATGGAAGCTGGAAAAGAAAGCAGAAGAGGAAAACAATAAAGCATTTGAATATTCAAGGGCACGTCTTAATAGAAGAGGACATCGCAGGAGACATATTTTTGACTGAGCAAGAATTCCTATTGTGGTCAACTAAATTGTAATACTTATATATGCAAGTATGTATGTTTAAATAAATCGTTTTGCGTAATATGAACTAGTTTTGGACTGTTTTAATTAAGTTGAAAAAGTGTTTTAGTTTTTAAACTGATATTAAAGACAATTTTATTTATATTTTTGGAATGTGAAACTTTCCTATTAATGGACATTACTTTTCATAAAAAGAACACTAAAATAATCACTTTAATATGCTTTAAATATTTCATTTAGGCAATCAATATTGAAAAGTTATAAATTATTTTTAAACAAAAAAACTTTATGCTTCACGACAATTTGTTTACCCCAGATTATAATGAAATTATACGTTAACTGAGGGTTTTATTAATACCTACAAGCCACCTTTTTTTAGTAATATAGAAGCAACAATTGTGGGTTTTCTCTTTGCTGTTGCCCCTCAGCATAACGAGAAAAGTAAAAGTATTGTTTTTAAGAATCATTTGAAAACTAATTGTAGCTCGAACGATTATCCTATAGCTAACTCATAGCCACCCCACACAAAAAACTGAATGAAAACTATCGTAGATCGCAATAAACATACATATAGCGCCAAAAATATTATTTGTTTCCAAAAACAATAATTCCAAGTCAAATTAATGATGTTTGCAATAATTTAATTAGGTATGGCCATTAACTTATTTTAACTTGAAACTTTTGCAGTGAAAATTAATAATATGATAATAATAATACACTGAGCGGCACAATTAACTTTACAAATTACAATCACGACTATCAGCATTTGCTGTTTTTTAGTCCAATTTAAATCTGCCATATTAAATTCATTTTTTTTATTTATTTACATAATGCTAGCTTAAGATTAAAATCTTTAATTCATATGAACAACAACATGTAAGCAAATTATTTTATATATTTGTCTAAAAACATTTTGTTTGCCATTGAGAATGGGAGCAGAGTAGCGAATTCTTCTCCCCGGCATGCGTATTTCGACAAAATGTATCCCAGTTTTCGTGTTTGTGTTTGCTTTAACCATTTTTTTACTTTTTAATGGAATATTAATTCTTAATTGATTCAAAAGTTAATGAAAACCATGCAAAAGGCGACTGAGCTCTGTTGTTGGAGGCTCAATAGAAGCGCCATTTTTAAATTCGCGAAGCCAATTAAGCAGTGCTGACCCAAGCAGTGGATGTCCAGCAACAAGCAGTTAACAATTTTGAAAGGCCAGCAGCTTTTTTTTGACCTTACTTAGAGCCTTATTTCGGGGAGTTGTTATTATTTTAATTTTTATCCAGTCAGGGTAACTTTAAGGAAGTATTATTACAGTTTTATATTTTAAATAAACTGCTACAATGGCTTTGCTTAGAATATGTATTAATGAACTGTTATTATTGCCATAATTACTTTTATAAATCCATTGTTTTTACAAGCTCTGCTATATCTATATTTATTTAATTAATTTGAAAAGCCTCGCCTCTTTCTTTGAAATCGTAAAGCTTATTTAGTTGCATTTTCAGTCTGCAATCAGCCATATCCTATCATTATTTTGTTGCCGTTAAAAGCGTATTAAATCTTATAAATTTACGTAAGAGTTTTGCAAATGATTAGTACTGGAATTAGGTCAATGTTGTTTATGAAACAGAACTACTATATCCCCGCTACGGTAGTTCCTGCTTATGTCAATATTTGCTCAATCTGCATATGGAACACAATTTACCAATAATTCCTTGTTTCTGATTTCCCAAAGCAATTTTCCCAGCTAACCAGCTCGGTCCGCAATGGACATTGTCCATATTTCACGCACCTCAACATTCCGCTCGGGGTCACTTCCCAACATAATACTCATTAAATTTGAAATCTCATAAATGCCATATACAAAGAAAAGAGCCAAATGGAAATAATCATGACAAGCTGCCAAAAATGCGCCGCGCACACAAATGAAACAATTTTTTGCTTCTCGTATTCGTATTCGGGTACGAGCCGATCTCGTTCATGTTTCAGTTCGCTGACAGATGATCAAGCTTAATGATGCTGCGGCTGCCAGCAACAACTCTCATTATATTTCAAGCGTTTTTTTGCTTTTTGGTCATTACAAGTTTTGATGCACTTTGCGACGCTCGATTTGGCAGGCGCGCCGGCAGATGAGTCGCTGGAACACTGAGTCCGGCCCCAGCACTTGACCCGCGCGTCTGGTACTTTGTTGTTGTTGTCGTTGTCGTTGTCCCAGTGTGGGGCTTGTTGCCGCCAAATTGAGTTGACGTAATGCTGCGCCACTCGAGCAACTCTCGATGTCTCGATGTCTCGAAGTCTTGGCTTTTTGATGAAGTGCAGCAGCAATGTGTGAGCATGCCTCGTCCAGTGTCCACTACGCGCACTCAATTAGCTTTGCCGCGTTTCCCATATCACAGCACAGCACAGCACAGCTCGGCGAAGAAGAAAACAAATTAAAAAAATAGCAAACAATAACAAAAACACACACAGTGGAAAGTTTAACATGGGGGGTCAGCGTTTTATTTAATTGGCTTGGTTGTGTGCCTCGACAATTTGTTGAACGCTTGCCAGTTCGCCAGCGAATTCTTGGTAATTCCTGGCAAGCTGCAACTGCCATGGAGCTGGCCGGCCAGCTAGTTGGCATAGCACGGCTCTCCGCCAGTTCTTCTCTCAGTTTATCAGATTACAGTTTCGCAAATTGGTGTTGTTTGTGGTAAACAATCAGAGCCAAGTCCTGAGTGGCGTCTTTATGTTCGCGCTGGCGCTTTCAGTTAACCTACAGTTGTGGTACATTTCTCAGCAATAAGCTAACTATTTTTAAAAATCTTTTTAATGTGATGATGTTGGCGAAAGTAAATATTATAATATTACACCTAATTCTGTTTTTAGACGGTCTTTTTTGACACGGTTTGAAAATTAAAAAATGTATATATGGTTACATGACTTTATTTTATTTAGCACGATTCATTTTACATGTGAACAACGTCTTTTTTACACGACTTTTTTAGGAACAAATCCACCATTTTATATTCGAACATCACGCAAGCCAAGAGTTTTCAATTTCCGCACAACCAGTGGGCCAGCAGCGTAAGTTTCAGATCTGATTCAGCCCTTCGACGTATATTCGAAGTTTTCATAACATTTTCTAATGCTGTATGTAATTCAAAACTTACAGTTTTTTAAATACCTGTAGATAAAATAAACTTATGTAAATAACTTTATTAACAAATTTTCAAGTTTTCTGAATTAATTCTTTTTATCGAACAAAGTCAAGAGTTTTCAATTAGTCTTAGATCTGATTCAGCCCTTATAAGATATATTTTAAAATATAAGACATCGATTCAAGTAACTTTGCAGATTTATTTATTTTGGAGTTTCCAATATTGAATTAGTTTGGACTGTTACTTTGAATCTATTTAGCTTTTAAACTTTTACATTTCAATAATCCAAGCACAAAAGTTGTTCTCCAAATATTTTGTTCAGGCGGTTTCAATCCAATAGCTGTACATTATTTCCCATTTTAGAATATTTATTTATTTTATTGACAAACAAAGCTCTCGACGAAAAAAAAAACAATAGAAAAATTATACTAAATAAAACTGAAGAATACAAAAAAGTCTTTAGAATTACAAAAAATCTAAAATCGATTCAAGGAGGAAGGAAGATGTGCATTTAACAAAATTTCTTCATCTTCATTTCTTCAAAAGCCTATAGAACCTCAAAAAAATCTAATAATGAATCAAGAAGGAACAAAATATTTTCATCCAAAGCCACTTTCACATACAACAGAAATATTTTTAGTGGTCCTGAATTTTCCTTCCATTCAACTGAAATCTAAACTTTTGAAGCTCAGCTCTTTTCGGCATAAACGGCATTCTAGGCTTCAACATACGAGTATTGTCTGAAAGTTGCCAGAGGAAACAAATGTAAGGTATAGCAGCTACTTCAATTGAATTCAGGCCAACTGGCTTACAGGGAAAAGATTTAAGGCCTGCGAACAAGTTTATAATCTAGCTGGCAAAAAAAGAGTTAATAATTCATATTTTCATATGTGGGATCAACCGAAATCTGGTTGTGGCTTCCAGTAGTTAACACATGCCCGATGCCCGATGGCCGGTCGCATTGTTGGAGCTGCTGCTGCATATGGTGGCACTTATTGTGGCAGTCAAACGAGAAGCACGAGCCAAACGCTGCCACATGGCTTTAAGTGGCACACACATGGGACGATGCGAACGGTAGCCGAGGATTTGGGGGCCCAGCACAACAATGGATCGTCCGGCAGCGAGTGACCAGTGGGTAGTCGTAGCCCCATTGAAAAGCGAAAGAAATGGTGAAAATAGCAGCACCAGCACCAGCAGCCAACGTCAGCCTGACAAAATATTTGTTGCATGATAAATGGCACAGTTTTTGGCGCAAGTCGGGCACTTACAATTGTTTGCCGGCCAGCGGTCAGCTGCGGCACAGAGCTGCACAAACACAAATATAGGCATCTCCCATATACGAGTGCATACATATATACAATATATATTTCCATTACCCATTTATGAGTGCCAAAGTTGCCATAAATACTGCGAGTACGTCTACTCGGACCCGTGTGTGCAACATTTTTCGCTAGGTCGCAGTTTTTGTTCAGCTGCAGCCAAGGGCGTACGCAAGTAGGGGCAGGGGGACAACGGCCACTACAAACAATTTTACCATATAAAGTCGATAATTTCGCCATTAAAATAAACCTGAGCTGAATTTGGTTGCATTTTTTGCATTGATCATTGATCGTGCATTATTTAATGAAAATTTAAATTTTGTTGTCCCCCCTTTGGTAAAAGCTGCTTACGCCTTTGGCTGTAGCAGCAGCAGCAGCAACAACAGGAGCGCTGATTTATGAAAGGGTCTCATAAATTAGCGCAAATATGGTCATAATTTTGTAGCTTTTACTTTTGGGCACTTTCTAGGCGTGCCACCGCCCCATGGCAAGCTAATGAAGCCGCCGCCACAGCCACAGCCCTAGCTTAAAACAAAAACAAAAATAAAAAAAAAACTCATTTTGGTGGCTCAGAGCAAGCGGCCAAGCCAACAGCCACCAACCGGTGCCACTTGTTG